CCCGCCAATTGGCCAGCCCCACTGGGATATTCAAGTTATTTCTACCACCTTTTCTTTGTCTTCTCCATCTGTCTATATCCCCACCCCCACCCCATAAATACTCAACCAGCTTCCCTCTCATGATATTGCACTCATCCGGCAAAACCCTAACCCTGGTTAAACGCACCTTGCTGCCTTTTCTGGCTTATTTCTGAGAGCTTGACCAGACTGAGAGAGAATGCACTGCTCTGATGCCCAGTTTTCACCATCAGTGGATCTTCTGTGCTGCCCTGCAGTCTGCTTGGCCTCTTGCTCTGCTTTCTCTTCAGACACCCAGCCCTTCCTCCCCATGCCTACGCTCAGCCTGCAAGCTTGCTTTCCTTGCCGTGGCACGCTGAAGTGAACACCTCTGAAGCTGTACCTTTATTTCTCATCTCTCTCTCTCTCTTCATTCGTTTGTTCTCTTCCTGCTTCGTATCCCCAATATTAACCGTATTTTAGATCTTTCCCATGAGCATACTAACACTCATTATTTGTCCCATCTTATAAATCGTTTTGGACTCCCTATTTGCCTCTGACTCTGCCTCGTTTACCTCATTCCTTTCTTCCTCTTTAGAATTTAACTTCTTAGGGTGGTGGTTAAGGCAGTTGGATCCCACATGACTGACTGTGGTTTGAGTCCTAGACCTGATGGCTTGAGAAGCTTGCTGGGCATGCTGCCCAGAATACTGAAAGGAGGGGGAAATGGGACAGAGAGGATTGCAGCATGACCATTTCCTGTGGGGACTGCTTTCTCCTCTCCCTCCTCATCTCTCTGTCTCTCTCTGGTGGCACTCCCTCTAGCAATGAAATGAAATGAAAATAATTTTAAATTTTTCAGGTTTTAAATCTTTTTATTTGGATATTTTTAAAAGTGTGCATTCCAGTAATTAAAATTATTTGAACAAAAAAAAAAATGGCACTCAAGTTAAATCGTATTTTGCAGCCTGCAGGACACCTTGGTCTAGCTTGGTTTTTACTCTGCATTTCTCCGTCATCCCCGCCCAGCTTCTTCCTTCACCAACATGCAGGTTCTGTTCCCTCCCTGCCAGCCAGATGGACAGATGCGAGAGGCAGGTGCGCCTTTGCTGTCACTAGATCTGGATTCTTTGATGTGAAAGAGGCAACCTACTCTCTCTAGCAATATCTGAATTGCTAAAGTCAGGCATCAGTTCTCAGCCTTTTTTTTATATTAAAAAATTATTTATTTATTTCTCCCACAAGAGAGAGAAAGAGACAGCCTTCTCAACAGAGTCCCAAAGCTATGATCTACCCCTGACCTCACCCAGCCCCAGATCACGGGCATGCCTGTGTCCCGTGTAGCCAGGGAGGTGTACAGACACAAACCAGAAACCTTCCTGTGGGTCAGCCTTGTAGAGTGCCATGCCTTACTGCTGTACCACTCACTGTCTTCCAAATGATATTTTAATGAGATCTTCTTAAAAATGAAAATGAGCTCGGGCCGGCAGGTGGCGTGGTGGTTAAGGGCGCTGGATTCCCACATGGCTGACAGACCTGGTGGCTTGCTTTCTCACTTGCTCTCTCTCACTCTCTCTCTCATTCTGTCCCTCTCTGGTCAAATTAAAATAAATTAATAAATAAAGTTAAAACATAATTCTAAAAAAATAAATAACCCTTTAAAAAAGTGAGTCAGTCAAAAAAATTATAATTAACAAAATAAACATTTTTTTCTTTCTCTTTAGAGTTTTTTTCTGAGGACATGTGTGCTTACTGGAGAGAAACAGAGAGGAAGAGAGAAAGTGAGAAAGCCTCCCACCACCCCCATGAGGAATGGTCACTCTACAATCTCTTCTCTTCCATCTTTCCCTTTAGGATTTCAGGCATGCGTGCACACACAACCCTGTGTGTTTTTCAAACTGCCGGGTCTGGGACTCAAACTGTGCAGTTGGTCATGTAGGATATAGGTACTTTAACTACTGCGCCATGGATTGCCACACCTCTAATTTTTTTCCAAGGTAACAGGTATTGAACTTATTGCAAATAACCATTCTGCCACAAAATAAGAATACTCCCAAATATTTTCCAATTCCAGAGGGGTCAGGAAGAAAGAAGAGTTTATGTTTCCACTTAAAGAAACAAACAAGAAGAAGAAGAAAAAAATATATACACACACACACACACACACACATATATATATATATATATATATATATATAAAATTAGAGGCTTTTGCTATAGAGCATGTGTGCTTGCCAGAAAGACAGAGACAGAGAGACAAAAAGCGAGAAACAAG